TTATTTTGGATAACAGATAACTTGAGCTTTTCAATTAGGATAAATGTATATCCAACATCTTGATTTTATTTTTCAGATACATCTAACATCCTAATCTTATTTTCTAGATGCATTCAACATTTTCATCTTTTTCTGGTGCATGTTTTATTTTCCTGATACATAGTTACATCCAGCATATTAATCCTTAAGGTACTAGATGCACCATATAAAACATTAACATACTGAATATACCTGCAAAATAAAATTAGAGTACTGAATACATCTTTATTTTTTTATTTTTTTTTTAATTATACTTTGTCGCTTAAATTACCATGCAAAGTTGCAGTGATTCTACGGAGGCGTGGTAGAATAAAGATCACAATCTTCACACCTCATTAGCCCATTTATCACACTAGAAGCTGTCGAAAGCTATTCTAAAATAAGGAGACAAATCCTTAAACTACACAAATTAGTGAAAATTTTACAAAGAATTACAGAGATCACTGTCTAAAACAAAATCGATTGTACAGATTTTGTAACGTACAAGGAACATTATCGCAGTCTAGCTAACTACCATTATATTTCATAAGTTCATAAGTATTAATAATTTACCCACTGATATTTTCACCCAAAAAAAAAAAAGCGATGTACATTTTTGCTAAATCCCTAAAATAGTGAAGTGTCACCTTGTATTACAGTAGACACCTTTTTCTGTGCTAAGCGATCACAGGCATTCTATCTGGGATCACATCTAAATTCAGGAATATGTTAGGTCACCTCTAAAAAGTTTTCAGTGCCTTTCCAAAAAAAAAAAGAAAAATTCAGTGCGCATCAGTCAAACAACATACGAGTAACGACCAGTTCAAAATTAAAACATTAAAACGCGCGCGCGCGCACAGACACGCACACACTTCCTCTAATCATAAATAATCAGGATAGCTGGACATAGCCAAGAAACCAACATTAGAAATAAAATAAAAATGCTGGATGACCGTTAAATAATGAAGGGACGAATGAAACAGGATAAACCAAGAACAGAAAATTGGAAAACTTTGATGATAAGCTTATTTCACAAAATTGTGGAAGACAGCTGTTTTCCTCAATTTATCCAAAAAAATTTTGGTGATTAACTACTAAAGATGATAATGGACCAAGTGTTACTACCAAGATTACCAAATGAAACCATCACTTTATAGTAATGACATGAGCCTAAGTTTATAAAAGAAATACCCTTTCATCAATCTAGACCATTCTTTTATTGGATGGAAAATTAATATATTGATCATAACTCATAAAAGAAAACAATAGATTAATCAAAGACAAGGAGTCACCACAAAGCAGATAAAAATTTAGCTCAAAAATGTTTGCCAGTTACTTTTCAGATTGACAAGGGACAAACCCTTCTAAGAATCCATTTGCCAACACCCAAAGAAAAGCCTAAAAGATAACCCTCTACGGAAGATGTTGCACGAGAAACTTAACGTTCAGAGAAACAATAGAGAACATTCAGCGTTTGAATGACAAATAGATGGCTCCAGACCCCAAAGATGAAATAAATATGTACATAGCAATTCATTTTTTAAATTAATTTCTACTTAATTACTAAGTCAAACCTCCATTATTTTCTCTCAGAAAAATGTTGTGGGGACAGGATTTGAACCGGTGACCTCAATGTAGGTAGAGAGTGTGTCAATCAGACCCAGCTTAAATAGGCGAACATCAAACAGTTTCTGGAGTAGGTTCTAGTCAGAAGATCAGCTGTTTTTTGCAACTGTGTAACCTCAATAACAGACTGAGTTATTCTCAATGCTTATAATTGTCAGGTCAACATAAAAAAACTTCATGATTGAGCAAATTGAAGTTCTTCATGGAGGTAATCTTTCTTCCCCCAACCATAGATACCCATAGATTCCATGAATCATGGCCTACATTGCAGCTTCAGTGCTATTTCAAGGTAATAGAAGACAAACGACACTCCTAAATTGCTAGACAATTAAAACGCCCCAAGACACTAGAAGGGCACACACCCAAGTAGATTAAGATGCTAAATTGAGGGGAAAAGTGTAATACATAATTAAAAATAGATAAATATAATTTGAAATAAAGCTCACAAAAAAATTCTGAATTAAAAAAAAGGCATGAACAAAAGATAAATACGTGTAGTAGCCATGTCAGTCAAGAGCTATTAACAAATTAACAAAAGATCAAATCCACTGATCAAGTTCAAAATAATCTTCGAAGATGTTAAAGAATAATCTGAGAGCCTATTCAAGTAGTTATTTGAATGAAAAACACTAACTTCAGATCAACAGATCTCATTGCTTTCTCCTCCTTTATTGGATTTAAATCCTTTATCGCCTTCCTCTATCTTATTTGAATCAGCCTCCACTTCCTCAAAATGCAAGTGATATGGAATCTTTTGCTGTCATTCCTCTAGATCAAGTGGGCTAGCACCTTTAGTTGGGCTTATAGATTTTATGCTAGTTTCTCCAACACCTGCTTTCCTCACCACAGCCCCCATGTTCATTCGGCATTCTAATCAGCTAAGAAACTAATGACCTGAATAATATCTCAAAGCAAGAATTATTATTTTACCTCATTCGCTAAAACAAAAGGATGGGCTAGACTCTTCAGGTTCTCTTTTATAGCTTCTAGACTCGAGCATATAATATGATTCCATCGCATGAATGAAGTCCTAAGGAGGTGAACTGTTGGTGCCTAACTGAAGCTTGCAAGTCTCGTGATACGAGAGTAAGAGGAGCTGTTTGACGCCTCATCCATAGCACCTTAGGCATCAAGGCAAGCCCAAATAACTACATCCTCGTCAAATAAAGCATCGTGGTTTTGATGTAATTGCAAACTATGGACCTTGAATCAAACAGCAGAATGGAGTATGGGATTTTGATGCAAGCTTTCTGTGGACATGATCCTCCCAAATGTTCAAATTATGTTTCTTCAATCATGCATCAGATTTGGAAATAACTTCTGAAATCCTATAATAACCATTAGGCTTCATATACATATGCTTGGTAACATTCCAGATCAACTATGGTTTATGTATAAAATGTGTCCCCTACTGTCGTCATCAGAATAAATACCCCTCAAATCCATGGGGAACACAGAAACTCATCCATAGTGCAATAATTCATTCAAGATCAAGGCTGGCGTTCATTCCTTCTTCTAAGTAGAGTACTTTACTCCTTGCACCTTTAATCTTCCAATATTAAATTACACAAAAAGCTGTCTATGACACGGCCCAAGAGAACAATTCCCAGTGGTTCCTAGCATCAAAAGAAATGCAACGTTAATGATCACTATTCTAATCACTTCCGTTCAGGTCCAGGAATACTTGACTGAACGCGCCTTTATCAGGGCAATTTACAGAAAGTACAAGGTTGGTGGTTCAATAAAATGAGTACTTTTCACTTTTCTCTCCATCTGGTGTTATTTGTTTATCCCTGCCATACATGACCTACAGATGTATGATAACTTTTTCTATCAACATGACGCATGTGTTTATCCCTGCCACATTTGTTTTTGTGCATGATAGTTTATCAACTCTCAGAGTTGTTTTGTTCATTTGAGAGAGGACGGAAGGCTTATCAAGACAGTGTTAGTAAGAGAAGCAAGTTCCATATTCTGTATTTATAGACAATAACTACCAATTTTCAGAGAAAATGTTAAGTGGTACGATCTTGCGACTCAAGCTTCTGGAAAAAAATTAAAAAAAGTTTCCCGTACGGCAAACTATGTTGACATACATTCCAGAGACTTTTCCTGTAAATCATGATGGGCATTTTTTTATTCAATAAAATTTGATATCCAATATATGAATACTCAGGATGTTACATGTTTCTGATAAAATTCAATTCGTCGTCAACTTATGCATCTATCACTATAAATTATTTTTCCACATTAAAAAAGGGAAAGTGAAAGTTCTGCATCCAGCAAAATTCCTAACAATTGCTACTCAATAATCATTGGGCATGTTTGGTAGCAGGGAGAGAAAAGAATCGGAGAGTTAGAGAGGGGAAAAGATGTTATGTAATGTTCTTTATGTTATTGTTATTATCACTAAATGGTACTTGTCTCTTTCTATTACTTTTCTTTCAAAAAGGAGAAGCACAGGCGTCGTTTTCATCCCTTTTATTCACCTGTTCATTCCTTTGTGACAAACGTACCAGGGGAATTAATAAAATTTTGCAATAGCACTTTCAAATTCTGCAATCAAGGAATTGATAAAAATGCATGCCTGTAAAATGCAAGAGAAATCTTTCAGTGTCTAAATTTTATGCTGGAAATAAAATGATTAATGGCAGGTAAAACCAAAAATAAAAAATAAAAATTGCAATAGTAGGAAAAACCAAAAGCTACAGAGCAATTTAGTGCCCTGGAAAGCCTGCCATGCTTTCCTTTGAAGAAAACTATAGCAGTTTCTACTCCAACTAGATACTGTAAACTCAGTCCAAACAACGGTTTGGAAGGGGGCAGAGAGCTTCACAAGTTAGCAAGCTCATTATATCGAAGAATCAGCAAATCAGAAAAATTCACATCAGTAATCGAACTATATCCACATCACTACATAAAATTCAAAGTCATGGGTTCACATGAAATTCAAATGAATTACATCCATAAAAGGGTAACCTTCACAAGTGCAGATTTGCCTGTGGTAAGCACACTTACACAAAATTTAACACTAATTTAAAGAAGAAAAATGAATCAATATTGATATAAATGAAAGGTGCAGGTGAATTTCTCACAAGTTATGAGCAACGTATCTCACCTTGAGTTTCATAAAATGCATGCAAATCCACTTTAGTTCTAGATAAATTATGTAAAGTATGGTGTTGTTACCACAATTGCAGAATTCTAAGTTCAGTAAAAGTAGCATAGTAGCACAAGCCACAACAGACTTCAAAGAAAGTAATGCTTACGATTCAGCTTCAAAACTTACTTAGACTAGATTTAGAAAGAAAAATTATGGATAAAAATAAAACATGGATATTAGACAAATATAAACATATGACAAATGATTGTGCTGATGATTCCTTAGAAAAATCTGCAGTTTAGTTGAATTGCATATATTAAACATTGGTAGTTTGGTACAAATAAAGTTCAAGATTGACTAATCGTACAACAAACATTCCTCAGAAACATACCCATCCTCCAATTTGACATGGCAAGCAAAAAAGGAGCATGACCCATCAAGGCAAAGACGTTAGCCTTCCTTCAAACACAAATCCCCGATAGAGCCCGTCGCCATTTCCAGGCATCTTATCAATCCATCGCCAATCCCCCAGAGCACCACACCGATCCCACAAGGCCAACTTCCCAATCCTCTTGGCCGAAAAACAAACCCTATCTCCGCCACCAAACACTTTGAACTTGCTTGATTCCTGAAAACACTTAAACATGTCCACTGGCATTCGCCCAGCCTCGTCCCAGTCCAATGTGTCCAAATCCAACCTCAAAATCAAAATTGTTGAGCAAGGCGAGTTCAATGAGAAGGAAGATTTCAACCCACCAACCATCAGAATCCGATTTCCAACTCCGCGTACCAGACGGGGCCGTTTCAAAATGTCGAACACGTCTCGCCATTCCTGCCTTTCAAGACGAGTCCAAGTCTGCGAGGTAGTGAGCTTGGTAAGATTGCAAGAGAACAGCTTCCATTGACTTCTCCAAGGCGACCCAACATCACAGAGCGCGTAAACTGAGTCAGAAACCAAAATTGGGCTCCTAGGTTTCGAGGGCAGATTCGATGAGAACTTCAGCCAGTGCTTTGATGTGCCCGAGAAGTATAGAGCCGCGAGTTCAGTAAGAACCATAACCCGATTGGCTGAGTCAACAAGGACTGATCCATGACGCGACCAAGCGGATCCCAGCTGTGGCAAGACCCGAAATTGCCGAGTCAATGGGTTACAGACCACCAGTGACTTGTTGGAATCAAGGGAGTCGGACGATTCACCCCAGAAATAGACAAGTCCCAGGGAGGATGCGACGGGTTGAAGCGACCGAAATGGAAGGAAATCGAGAGGGAATTTGAGCCATTGATTGAGGTCAGGGTCGAAGACATCAAGGGAAGGAGAGGAGACATGGTGGCGTTGGGCGTGATGAAGATGGCGATGGTGAGGTGGGCGGAGAGCGAGGAGATAAAGAGGTGGATGCTGGGAAGAGACAGAGTGAATGAAGGAAGGAGAGGTGAGAAACTGGTTGAAGAACTTGGAGACGGCGCGGCAGACGATGATCTGACGGAGAGGGAGGGAGGAGAAGATCTGGTGAAGAGAGTCCTGAGGAAGACGGTAGATCGGAGGGTAATCCATAGGCGGCCGGACCGGGGGCGGATGGCGGATTCAGGGGGACAGAGAGTTTGACGATGCCTCGCTTTTTGAAGAAGCAGTCAAAAGCGTCTTGGCTTTGCTTTCTCGCTCGCTAAGTGGTTCCGTTTTGATGGCTCTGAGTTTTCGAGTTTTTCACCATCTAATGGATTCATCCCAATCTCAAAATCGTGATCCTACCCTAGACGGCAGAATAGGTGTGTGCGCTTGAATTTAGGGCGGAGGCAATTGATATCTCAAAGAATTTAACAACCACCACAAGAGAACATTAAAATGCAGGGCAAACAAAAAATGAACAATAAAAAAAAATACATGTTAAATTTTAAAATAAAAAATATATAATTTTGATACATTTTGATTATAAAAATAATTAGTATAATCTATTTATCTTTTTAAAACTTAACAGGTATTTTTTTAATTATTTTCTCAGCTCAGAAAAGACTCAATCTCAAGAAGATAATAGAACATATTTTTTTATTTTTTCTTAAACAGCAGAACATATTTTTGACTATAACATGCAATTTTGGAAGACCATATGGCAATCATGTCACCTGTGTTTAGTGAAAAGAGTATTTTTGCTTTAGAAGCTTTACATGATGAGCAACTTATACATGAAAATTCAATACTTATAATTTTAAATATAAAAATTAATTAGAGATTCAATATGATTTTAAATATAAGACCCAAATTTACTTTATCTCTTATATTTACTCATTCCTCCCCCATATAATCCCTACAGTGATTAAGCATGTTAAATAGCCAAGTTTGCATTAAGAGATGATACCAATACACATGATTAGCAATGATACTTTAAAAACGACAGCACACATTTATGACCAAATTAATTTTTTTAATATTTATAAATTAATTATTTAATTCTTATATTAAAGATTAGATATAGAAGTATCTACTAATTAACACCGCTCCTTTTTTTTTTTTTTTAAATTGAACGAGGCATCATGTTTAGGACGCCAATAGTTTACCATTCCCACAACTTCTGTTGAGCCTTGCTACATCTTTTATTTTTTCGATTGTCAATTGTCAATACCTATAAGAAGATTATAAATATTTTCGTATTAACTATCATTTTTTTATATCCACTATTTACTCACTATCTGCATGTTTGCTTGTAGGTTATTTTACTTTCAACTTTGATTTACATGTCTTATAGTATTACACTTCATGCTTCATCCCACTATTTCTTGCATGTTGATATACTTTGTTAGCTTTCTTGGGTCTTATAGGATCATACGCGATTACACTTGTTTTTTTTATTCTTATTCCCCTCTCTTCCATAGTGTAGCTTTTGATAGGCTTGATATGATCGATGTGGTTATGCATTATAGGTGTTGTGCTCTATGGCTTCATTTTTTGTCTATCAAATTGAAATATGAATGTGACTACAAAAATTGCTATATTTGACACTCCAAACTTACCAATTAAATAAAAGCGCATCAAGTAACCAGAGGTGAATGTCAAGTAAGGACTTGGTTGTTATGTTGATTGTCAAATAAGCATAGGACAATATTTGATGGTTATGAATGCCACTAAGGGAAAAAAAAAAAAAAAGATTTCCACACCAGTTGGAATGGGTATTTGATACTAGAGTTACGTGTGGTGTAGAAAGGCACTACTACAAAATATACCATTTACGTCCCTCATTTTCATATGTTCATTAAAAACAAAAGAAAAAAGTCCATATTCTTGTCTATTTAAGTCAAAAAGATGAAAATATGGGACCATACTCATCTATTATCCAAAATAGAGGAGTATACTATCCACGTACGAGCAGATGAAAATATGGAACCATACTCGTCTGTCATCCAAAACAGACGAGTATACTATACAAAGCAGACAAGTATACTATAGTATACTCATCTGTTTTGGATAACGGACGAGTATGTGATAATCATACCCGTCTATTGACCAAAACAGACAAGTATAATATATATATACTTGTCTGTTTTGGATAACAAACAACTATATGACAGTATACTTGTCTGATATCCTTAAAACAACGAGTATGGCTTTTCTTCTAATATATATATGTTCAGAACCCTAAAAGTTACGATAGTCACTCCATTTTTAATGACTGCTGCAGGCTCACTTTCTCTATTCTTATTGTTGCGTCTTCTCCATTGATCACATTGCTCTCCACTTCTCTATCTCATCTTTTTTGTTCTTGAATGCTACCTCTCTCTATGGGTTCATGTTTACTAGATTGAGCTGCTTTTCCCTAATATTTTATAAAATCTCTGTTGGCAGCAATTTGTGATTTCTCCCTAATTCTCCATCAATTCACATCTTTTCCCCTTTTTTTCATGGCTAATCTACTTAAGAAGTTTGAAAAAGCTTTTGTAAAGCTGGTTTGTGGCTAGACCCCTCTTCCTCTAAGTTGATAAGCTAGGGCTTGAGCTTTACGCTTCAAATGAGAGTTCTCATCCATAGATCTAGCTATTATTCTTCATATTTTATCTTCTCTACATCTTAGACTAGATGACTGATGTTAGAGATAGTGTTTTAATGATTGTTTTTCGTTATATAATATGGATGTGTATTTGAATCTTGAAATTGTGGCTCCTATTTACATTTTTTTGGCCTAAAGTTCTTATTTACATTGATTGTTATGATTAATTAATTTTTTTATTTGTATTTACATGGATTCTATTTGTATAGAAGAATGATATGATTTGGTTTTGCTGAATTGCTGTCATTGTTGCTGGAATCACGCTACTATTTGTTTCGGTTCTCCGATACACTTTATATAATTGCAGGTTATAATAAAAACTAGACAAATAATTTCTTTTTTTTTTGGTAAAATACCTATTTTTGTCTGTTGGAGCAAAAACAGACAAAAAAAGAGGGCTATTTTCGTTTGTTAGCCAAAACAGACAAAAATAGTCCTACATATTCATCTGTTTTTGCCCCAATAGATGAAAATAGGTGGACTATTTTTGTCTCTTTCATGCTAACAGACAAAACTAGTCCGCATTTTTTTCTATTAGAAAACAGATGAATAAGTATCTACTATTTACATCTCCTTTATCAACATCTCCTCCTAAACAAAAAAAAAAGCCTCTAAAACAGACAAAAATAGCATATTTTATAGTAGTGACAGCCAATGTTAAAAGTCTCCTCTTTTTACACTGGTTACAAAACCAATATAGAAAATATTATTTTTAACACCAATTGTTATTCCAACCGATATAAAAATTAAAACAAAAAAATTTAAAAAAATGAAAAAGATCTATGATTTTATCAAATATGATAAAATCCTAGAAGAAGTTGTGATTTTAATCACAATAAATAATTCAACAATCCAATAATCCAACAAATAAGAAATAGCATAAGAGTAGAAATAATCAAATCTAATGAGATTGTAATAAAACTAGTTAAGTTCTACCAAAAAGAAAAACTAGTTAAGCTTGGTTGTTACATAGTATAATTCTTTGAATATATGCCATGTTGTATTTGAACTTGTTTGATGGTAATGTGTTGATTGGTTGCATTGTATGCCTTGGCAAAATACATTAATATGCTGACTTTAGAATGGTTTGAAATGGTTCTAGCATGGCATAGAAACAAGTGGATTATTGTGAACTTGATTATAATATACCTTGCTTGTTTAACATTATTATTGTAATTCCTTTGCTACTGAGATTTTTATGAAATCTTATTCCTCTCTATGTCTAAATAACACCAATAGGACAGGGAGGTGGTCTTACGATGAAGGAAACATTATTGAATTTATAATGAATTTTATGTACAAGTATTGTAATATTTATGGATTGATGTTTAGATGACTTTTAAGGGTTGTAATTTATGTGGATATACTTATTATATGCTGTGAAATATGGTTAAACCATGTTTGAATGAATACGAATGTGTTATGGCAAGTTATGCATAAAAATGATAAAAGTTGACCTAAATAGAGGCAAAGTTTGGCCAAATAAAGGAGTTTGGTCATGAAACTTGACAGATCAATATATCATATTTTTATCTTTAAAGTGAGTAGTACATCGTAAAATTTAGAGTTTTGTACAAAAAGTTATATCTTTCCAAAATTAGGCATAAATTTTGAAAAATTGCAAAAATTATCAAATAAACAATACACTTTGGTGTTGAAACTGAGCACACATAAGCAGAGATTATACTATGGATGTATTTTTTTTCTTAAAAATCTCATTGAAAGATTCAAGTAGGACTTTGAACCATATCATTTTTTTTCTAGAATTAGTTATGATTTTTTAAATTTTGGCCAAAATTAGGGTTACAATGAATAGTAACCTTAGAAATTAAATTTAAAAATTCAAAATTTTTCAATTTAATGCCTTGCTGAATAGTTCCAATTGCTCTCTCTTGATGTAAAATTGGGTAATAGAGTAAGGTGTTACATAGGACACCTTAAGAGCTACCCAGCATACATGTGAGAAAAATCACCATTTTTTATTTGTAATTCCATTCTTCCAAGCCTAACCTTGAACAAATTGTATTATTTCATTGAGGTCCTCCCCCTCCTCATTTCAAGCCAATCCAACTAGAAAAATATGAAAAATTTTGTCCCACCAATCTTAGGATTATTATACTGTATAATCTCACAATATCGGTTGAATTTTTCTTAGATCCTAAAAATTTATTTCTTTGCTCCAATAGTTTCCTTTTAATGAGGAAAGGTTTTTCTAATTTTCTTAGATTTTATTTTGACCTATAACTTCTTTAATTAAATTTTTCCAAAATCATCATTTTACCAATATAATTTAGCTTTAAATATTTTAAAGCTAGCCTCTGCATCTCTAAAGGTTGAGAGAATAATTTTAAAATTCATGATAACCTCTCAAATAATTTTTTTCCTCATTTTTCCAAGAATTATTGAGGCCTCTACATATTTTAAATAATTCAATTTGCCTTTTTTTTCCTTAATTAGCCAAAATTCAAGGAAATGACAAAAAATTCCAAAATAAATTATTTTCATGCTATGTTCATCTTTCAGGCCTCAAATACTGTCCCAGACCCCTTATTCTATTTTTCATCTTGACAGGATATTTTGAAAATGACAGTCCAGTCCCTGCTCAGGTTTCCATTCAAAAGTTGTTCCGTCTATTTGTCTAATACACCCCTTGGCCCACTATCTATTTCA